CCCTGCCTAGCAGGCTATCCCGCTCGTCAGAGCTCAAGCATCACGCTCTTCTTTACTACTACCTTTGCCTGCGCCGTAACAATTAAGACATAAAAGTTTTCATTTTTCCAATTGACCCTTTAGTTGATGCACCACACCACACAGCGATCCATCATATAAATGAACTCTCCATTCCACAAAAATTTCTGCTCATGCATTTATCAGTACAGGACGCGAAGTGTTCATGATTTGTAGGTAGTTGGATACCGACGAATGGAGCGGCAAATTATTCATAAGATGAGGAGAATGACTGGAAAGCGAAAAAGCAGCCAGGAAAGGCATAATCAGGAGAATATGAACATTGGCGCGTCATAAGTAGTGATATACTAAGTTGCCAAAGTTTCATCTTCATAACTACCCCAGATCTAGAGAACGAAGTAGGCGGACACGCACGCACACACATGCACATATAGAAACAAACACACATACACAGATGATTAGAATATTTGTTTTTGCACAGCATAAATGCAGAAAGCGAAATTAAAAAAAAACCCCAGGCTGGAAGGCACCGGGTGGACCCGCGCGATCATGCGTTTTTGCATAGTTCCCTACAGATTTTTGTCGTTCACGGCACTGTTTTTTTCGGCAGATGCTTCTAGCTAGAAGAATTTCAGACTGGCCTCCAGGACTGCAGCAAACATTCCCTCAAATTCCAGTCTTCTAACTTTTCAGGTTCCCGAATTAGCGACTTACCCGAAAAAAACTTTTATGGACCCGTACTTGGGTACCACGCGTATCCGGGGCTGGATTTGAGCTTATTAATACCTACTTGGACGGGAAACGTCCCCTTAAAATTTCAGCTTTCCTGCATTTCTGGTTTCCGAGTTAGCCGCATGCCCGTAAAAAACTTTGGCCGGCCCGTACTTAGATACCACGCGGGTAACGGTGCCAATTTTGGGGATTGTGGCCCATACGTTCATGTGAGTCAAGTTCCCAAAGTGTCAGCCCCGCAGTTTTTATAGATCTTGAGATGAAAAATCGGTACAGACGCACACAGGCACACGGACACATGAACACCCAGATAACTCCTTATCAATACGCGTTTCTGCATTGGATAGATGCAAGAAACGCATAAAAAATTACTCGAAGAATTTGGCTTTTGCTGCAGATATTCTTAAGCAAGAAGGACAAGAATGATTAACCGATGACGAAGATTTTTAAAGAAAAAAAAAACAGCCAAAAACATTTT